CTACAAATAAAGGGACACACCATCACAAGAAAAATAATGGAGCATCTACTCGAAGACTAAAGATCAGGTGTATAGTTTGTCACCCTTGTTACCCCATAGAGTATGCAACCCAATACTCAGCTGCTCTAAAAGGTAATGATACAAGCAAATACACCTATCCAAGGGAAGCGACGTAGAAGCACCAAAGAGACGAAGAGAAGACCCGGACGAAATGTCTACGTCTTTTCTTGCCTTTGGAAAAGCAACACATTACTATTCCAAAGGACAAGTAAAGAGGGGCAGCTGTAGACACCCAATTTCGTTCGGGGCATACAAACAAGGGAATGGACCTCTATTATGAAGGGAAGGAGCTCACGAAGCATGCAAACAATAAGATAGGACTTTAGAAGGCCCAAAAGCCCAAATAAGCTAATTTTAGAAGACTGGAACGGGCTGTTCCAAAACTAGAACGGGCCATTCCAAGTTCCTAAAAGGACTAATAACCCTAATTTGGAACGGGCCATTTCAAGATTGGAACAGGCTGGTCCAAGATTAGAACGGGCCGTTCCAAACTCTTCAAAAGAGGGCTAAAACTTTAACTGGAACGGGCCGTTCCAAGTTATAAAAAGAGCCTAAAGATCCTTGATTGGAACGCCCGTGCCAGTATACCAAATGAAGTGTTAATCTTATCTCTGGAACGGGCCGTTCCAATTTCAGAACGAGCCATTCCAGTTACAAAATTTACACGTAACGACCATATCTAGAACGGGCCGTTCTGATTTTGGAACGGGCCGTTTTGGACCCTTTCTGAAGTCTATAAATAGACTCCTTAGGCTCAACCCCTCTTGATCTACTACCCCTTCCTAATACTCCTTCCTTGTTTCACAAAGAAAGTATATCTAGGGCAGATTTTATTAAGAAATATCATGAGAATATCAATAATCAAATTAAAAACAAAACACAAAAATATGCCAAATACAACAACAAAGGAAGAAAGAAAATCACCTTTGAGGTTGGGGATTGGGTTTGGCTTCATTTAAGGAAGGATAGATTTCCCACTCAAAGGATGTAAAAACTAACCCTAGGGGAAATGGACCATTCCAACTCTTTCACAAAATAAATGACAATGCATATAAATTAGACCTTCCTTCTAAGTGTGGCATTAGCTCATCTTTTCATGTATGTGATCTAACACCATTTTTAGGAGCTGAGGATATGGATGAAGATCTTAATTTGAGGATAGATGCTTCTCAAGAATGAGGGGATGATGGAGGACCATCCTCGAAGACACATGTGGGCCCTATCACTAGGTCCATGGTTAGGAGAGTGGAAGAGAAGGAGAGAGCTCACACACCAGATTCAGGATATGGGTTGACAACACCTTCATGAGAGAAGAAGCCAAAGGACCTCCCTCTACATGAGATCTTCTGAAACGCCACATCCAAGCAAGTGGAGGACTAGCTCTACAGTTAGATGACCTAGGCCTCTCTAAGGGGAAACCTCATTCTACTTCTCTGAGAATGAATCACGAACTTAGGGCATGCCCGGGCCCTCGATCTACATTAAATGGGCACGTGTAAATTGAAAATTTTATTTTAATACTATACATTTTTCTACTTCATTTCTCTTCTCCCTTTTATCTACTCTAAGCCTCGTCAACAAACCTTAAATGAACAAGAACATTTGAAATAAAGACGTCATTAGAAACAATGGCCTAATGTGCGACAAGGAACACATAGAGACCAATCAAATTCGGCATGACTTGTGGATAAAAGTCTTAACGAAATCAGTGCAAGGGGCGTACCCCTTTAATGAAGGAATGAGAGATGATCACAAATGCTGCAAAGACAAAAGCCTCGCAAGAAACTATTGAGAGGGAAACACAAAGATTAGAGCAAGGTCCTCTAGGAGACCCACAAACAAAAAGGGTAGCCTAGGCAAAAGTGAGGATCATAAAGAAAATGTCCGCTAGGAAACATATCTCAAGTTACCTAGGCAAAAGTTAGGACAAAGCAACATCCTGAGCTAAAAATTGAAATACTGCTTGGGAATATCAATTAGTCGGGACTGTCAAAGGAACCCCGTGAACACCAACTATGAGAAGTTTCTGGCGGGAGGTATGAAAAAGAATTCCCGTTTGATTTCTTTCATAATTGCTTGGATGTTGAAACCTAGATTACATAATCATGCTCAAATTTCACGGGATGACATTCTGTTAATGCATGTTATTAAAAAGAAAATCAAGATTGATTGGGTATCGGTCGTAAATGATTGTATATGGAAAGCTAGGCAGAAGGAAGATGGTCCGATTCCGTATGCTCTGTTATTGTCCAAGATTTTTGAGATTGCTGGTGTGGATTTATCTGGGGAAAGGAAAATTGTTTTACATGCTTCGAACAAAATAGAGAAGTCTTCTTTACATCACATGGGAATGCTTAAACAAGAAGACAAATAGGTGTTCAAAGGAGATGTACCCCCTACCCCGGAGCAGGCAACTGATGAAGACGGTGTTTCGTCTCATGATGAGGATTAGCCACCACAGGTGGAAGCTGAACCTAGCAGGGAGATTGAAGCGGAGCCAAAACCGTTTTAACCATTTGAGACTGTCGCTCTAGGTTTGCTAGCGCTCCCTCCAATGTCTGTTATTTCTTTCCAATTCTGGGGTCATTCACTAGCTTTGTGTCCCTTCTCTTGACATTTAAAGCATGTTATTACTCTTTGCATCCGACACTCAACTTCCCTATGACCTGGCTTCCCAAATTTGAAGCAGTTGTTGTGTGGAACAGGACCCACACTTCCCCCTCTAAAAGTTTGGCTAGTCATTGGAGCTTGACTCCTTTGTTGCAAAGAACCTTGGTTATTCACTTTAGAACTTGAATCTCCAACAAACTTGGTGTAAGGCTTACCCTTACTAGATGAACCAAACTTATTATTCCTCATGGGTCCTCCACTCTTATAATGAGTTACCCTAGCATGGTTGTCCTCATCATATACTCGGCACTTGTTTACCAATTCATGATAGTGAGTGATCCCTTGATAATTGAAAACTTGTTTAATCTCAGGGCGAAGACCACTCACAAACTTCACACATTTGTCCTCCTCATTGCCCACACCATCATACATAGGACATAATCTAAACAAGTCTTCAAACTTAGTCACATACTCAGCCACAAAATTTTCTCCTTGCTTCAACTCAAGGAATTCCACCTATTTCTTATGTCTCACATCTCGGGGAAAGTATTTCTCCAAGAATAGCTGCTTGAAATTCTCCCAGTTCACTTGGGTACCTGTAGCTATCATTCTTTGCAAAGCACCTTGCCACCAAATGCTAGCCTCTCCAGAAAGCATGAAGGCAGCCAAAGTCACCTTCTGTATCAAAGGACATCCCATAGCTTGGAATATTTTTTCAACTTCAAAAATCCAGTCAGCAACTCCATCAAGATTATAACCTCCATGGAAGCTTGGCAGACTATTTCTCTTGAATCTCTCCAACCAATCTATCTCTGGTCGTTGGTTCAAATTACCAAGAGCCTGAGCCATCGCTTGTAGAGCATCAGTGATTGCACGATCGTTCCTACCTTCTGCCATTACTTTTTTGATCCCCAGAAAAGTTAACAATTATACTCTAATAAAAAAATAAACAACAAACTTAATCAATCGTCATACTAGCATATCAATAAGTTCAACAATCAATTCATTACATCATTCATCTACCAAACAAGCATAGTAGACTCATAACTCATGGCCGATTGGATCAACCTTCTCTGATACCACTAAATGTGACACCCTTACTACCCCAACACATATATTGTAATAATGAAAACTTACAAATAAATCTTTCAATTTCGGTAAAAGGGTTCACATGAAAAACTTCAAAATTGTTCTTCAATAACCACAATAATAAAAATTTAGAAAATGAAACACAAGAGTTTACAAATTATTTTCAAAATAATATTTACAATTCCAAATCCATATAAAAATTTATATCCTAAAAATCCTCTGCCCCGATGTCACAATATCAAAGCATACCCACAATTCAACTGTTGGCATTCTAGATGCCACTCATAGCCAGATCTTCCTTACCTAAAACATTAACAATTTGTACGGTGAGAAAAGAAAACATCTATATGTAAAGCATATACAAACACAAAACAATGTAATCTTATTACATAATGAAATATTTTCAAACATTTTTATATATCATAACTCTATCAATCATGCATCATTTTCACATCATAATTCGCAATCACACCTATTCATCTCAAATCTTGCAATTAACATTATCATTTTCACATTCATAATTCACACAAATCTCACAATTAACACTATGCTAAGGCCATGTTACAACTGACATAAGTGATGCGGGTTAATTGCCTCACTCATCCCACACCATGCCAGGGTCACGCCCTCCCTGTAGCATCACTTACCCAGGGGCCGTCCCATCCCTGGTCATTAATGTGAGGAACCCCAATCACATCACAATCCACACAATCTCTTACAATTAACCCTATGCTAGGGCTACCATATTTGACATAAGTGCTACGTGTTCACTGTCTTACTCATCCTACACCATGCCAGGGTCACGCCCTCCCTGTAGCATCACTTACCCAGGGGTCGTGTCATCCCTAGTCATTAGTGTGAGGAACACAATCATAATCATATTCACATCCATAAAACATCTCATCTTATAGCTCAATTCCATACACACATCAGATAAGTCCAAAATAATAGGTTTCATTCACCTCAAACAATTCACATCTAAATCATCAATTTTTATCAAGTAATATAAAAATAACATTCATAAATTAATATAATAATCAATGGAATTACCAATTTAATATAATCTTAACATAAATGGTAAAACCTCCAATTATTCCAAAACCTAACTCACATGCACTTTTCTACAATTTCCTTCTCTCTCCCAGATCATCATTCTTACAAATTAAATATATATTTCTAATCCTCAACACATACAGAATCTAATGGGACCATCAATTCCTCAAACAGAAATAATCCAATTTTTCCAAAACCTAGCTTACAAGAACTTTTCTATAATTTCGTTCTCTCTCCCAGAACATCATTTTTACAAATTAATCATATATTCATAGTTCTAAATACATACAGAGTCACGTAAGACCAATAATTCTCCAAACAGAAATAATTATAAAATTACTCATAATCCTAAGGGACTCTTCCTCTACCCAATTCCCTTATGTAACTCTACATACAAATAATCCCCTTTTTCCCTCGTACCTTGATATGTAGAAGCTGAACCTACACAAGATCTGGTTGGTCTCCCTCGCTGGGTTTCCCTCGGTCTGAAGCAGAAAGTAGAGGGAAAGAAGAGAGAGTAGAAGAAAAGAAATTAGAAAATGAGAGGTGTGCTTTTTGGGAGTGGCAGAGAGCTCAATTTATAGGCATCAGGCTTCGTTGGAACGGCCCGTTCCAAATTCGGAATGCTCGTTCTGGACCCTTAAATCATGGGTAAAAATCACATCCAGAACGGCCCGTTCTCAAACCAAAACGGCCCGTTCTGGTGTGCATTATTACTCACAACGACCATATTTTGGAAACAACCCATTTTAAGCTCGTTCCCATTTAGGGTTAAAGGCAGTTTTAATAGTCCAAAACGGCCCGTTCCAACTTGAGAACGACCCGTTCTAGGCTACTAACTCACATTCATTTTGGTAGTTTGGAACGGCCCGTTCCAATTTCGGAACAACCCGTTCCAAGCTACTAAATCACCCCTGTATATTTATAAAAATTACCAAAATACCCTCAATAAAATAAAATAAAAATGAAATAAAAACTGGGGTGTTACACTTGGAGGACAGGAATAAAAAGATCCACCTTGATTGGCATTGAAGTGAAATAATGAACGTGGCCTTGAAACCGGGGAAGAAATGTTTACTGTTTTGGAGATCCATGGTAACCACGCGAAATTCATGTAACCAAAACCACAAATTTAATGTGCAGTGCCCGTGAAAACACAAACCCAATTAGTAAACATGCAAGTTTCTCATGCTAGACACACACAAAGCAACACAGATAGATTGCATAAAAAGTACTGCGAGAACACACACGACTTGATCGAGAAGATTCGAGAACAAACAAACCCACAACAATGAAGGGAAACCACGATTGTAAAAGAACAAAAAAGAGAATATATATTTGACCTGTTGAATGATGGTAACAGGGAATGTAGTGGAATTGGTCAAATAAAGCCAAAAGCAGAGTGAAAAAGTTTCATCCTTTACTTCAATGTCCAATCTTAAATCCTTAAGCAGAGAGTACCCTTCGCTTCCCACTGCGTCGGTGCCCATTTTCTCTCAAAATTTGAGTATCAAGCTTCCTCCAAATGGAACTTATGATACTGTAGTTTGATCATCTACCAGTTCATCTTATGTTCCATGCTGCCATGCATATTAAATCACGTAAAGAAGCCAATAAAACAATAAAAAAAATGTAGTAGAAAGAAATAAAGATGAGAGAGAAAGAATGTACCAGTGCAAAAAAAAAAAGAATAGGATATGAGAGAGATGGAAAGTGGGAAATATGGGAGAAAAAAATAGAAATTATTATAAGAAGAAGTAGCAGTTTGTTGGTTTCTAATTTTTGAATGAAACAGCAGATTTACAATTTTGTCCTAATTTTTGTAAATAACTATAAAAAAATATGGACACATGATCAATTTAAGTGGTAATTATGTCAACAATTAAAGGATAAAAATGACTGAAAAAAAGTGGAAACCAAACCCATGTATTCCTTTTATCTATTGTTATAGATTAGTATACTTATCTTAAATGAAATTATTTTTTAATTGTTATTTACATATACATAATATATCTGTACTATCCGTACTGCAAGGCCGAGCTTTCAGCTCGGCATCGCAACGCATGATGACCTCGGATACGCGTTGCGTGACGTCAGCTCTTCATTTAACCAGATCATAACTGATTTGAGGAGATCTCGGTCTATACGAGATCCGCTATCCAATCATATCATATCTTATCTAAGGCCCAAGGCCCAACACAACCCTAATTCACACCAAGGTACGTGCATTACTTATACGAGACTCATACTCATACAAACCCTAACTTTAGCATCGGAGTCTCTTTTGCAGGTACCACCCCCATCTCGGAACATCAAGCGTACCAGCGAAGGAGGCTCACCAATCTTACTCGGAGAATCATCCCTACGACAGATTTCCAGTAAGAACATTTGGCGCCCACCGTGGGGTCGATCAAGACAGCTCTTATCGGCCACGCTTATGGTATTCACTAGAAGCCATAGCAGACGCGCAACAGACGACGCAAATCATACAACCACCATGGATAACGACGCGACATTGAGGAGACTGATCGACCAGGTCGAACAGATGCGGCAACAACACGACGCCGATCTGCGAAACATGCGTGCCCAACACGAAACTGACCTAGCAGCAATGCGGATCGCCAATGAATCTGACCTAGCGGCGCTACGCGCTAAAAACGAGCGAATTCGCGCCCAGTTCCCTCGACGCCCCTTCGATCATCCTCCTGAAGCAAGCAACTTCCACGAGGGCGGTCTCCCAGCCCCGGACTGCGACTAGGGCACCGACTCCACGACCTGCCCCGCATCGGTCTCATGTTCCGACGAACAAGTCGGTCCATGAAGTCAGCAAAGCCCCATCTCATGTCACAAGGGGTCAAGCAACCTTCCGCCGTCATCCCTTTGTGGACGGTATCATGGAGACACCACTCCCTCAAGGGTGGAAGCCTCTCCACCTCGATCGCTATGATGGCACAACGGACCCCGATGAGCACATCGACCTGTATACGACACAGGTGAACCTCTACACTAACAATGATGTTGTTTTATGTAGGGTTTTTCTGACCTCGCTCAAGGGGGTCGCACTCAACTGGTACACCCAGCTTCTCGCTGAGTCGATCGACAGCTTCGGCACTCTGGTCAGGCGGTTCACAGCGCAATACGCAACGAGCCGACCTCACCACATCACCTTTGCCGCCCTAACTGGTCTTAGACAGAGCGACGACGAGCCACTTCGGGCATTCATGGAGCGATTTGCCACAATCTCGGTCAAGATCAGAAATCTGAATCCCGAAGTCGCCCTACATGCCATGCTCATGGCACTCAAGCCCAGGCCATTCGTCGACAGCCTATGCCACGAGGCTCCTCGCGACATGGACGAGCTCCGTGCCCGTGCTGCGGGCTACATTCAGATGGAGGAACACTCCGCATTCCCTGACCAGGTTCATGGAAAGGGTCCAATGAAGCTGGAATAGGGTCACAAGGACAAGGACAAAGTCAACAACGACAGCCAGTTCAAGAAATTGGCTAGAACAAATAGAGGGGGGAGATATGACTTCTATACTCCCCTGAACACGCCCAGGGAGCATATCTTGGAGGAGGCCAGTAACAACAATCTGCTCACTCTACCACCGCCAAGTCACACCCCAATAACGCCGACAAGTCCAAGCACTGTCGGTACCATAGAAACCACGGTCACACCACTGAAGAGTGCCGCTCACTTCGGGACCGTATTGAAGAACTCATCCAAGCAGGCCATCTCAGCCAATATGTCCAGC